AAATATCCAAAAAGAACGCACAAACGCTACAACTAATGGTCTAAGTTGAGAGACTGAAAATCCCGGAGCAGTTTCCAGGCCAGACCGAGGCTCTACTGAGGCCTTTCCACGGAGCTAGCTCTGTGGTCACGTGGGTCTGATGCTCATTAGTTATACAGAATTTTAGGCTTTTAATACACTTAAACAGAAGAGTGAGAAAAACATTCACCCCCCTCAGAGTTGTCATGAGTTTAAACTAGATCATTTAAACCAAAAACATGTTCTGGTACCAGGCTGTAAACATGTTTATTTCTGCTGTGAAATTGGTATTTTTAACATGGGAGTCAATGAGGATTTGCTCGCTTCCGACACCAGCCCCTAGTGGATGAGGGTGGAACTGCAATTTTTGTCACTTCCGCGTTGGCCTCAATTTTTCACCCGCATTGTGGGGGCTTGGGTGTGACTTGCATTTTCAGTGGCTTTGACAAGGAGATGATGGTTTTTAGTCGCCGCATCTGGTTTATATCCGATTCCCAACAACCGCGAGGTCACTTGCTTAATGACAAATCCCTCCCCTTTTTCCTTCTGCTTGCACCAAAACTGCAGGAGGTTTCATCATCGTCATCATCAGTTTACCTGGTGTTGGTCATATACTGTAGGAGCATTTCACACACTCGCTCAACTTTTCGTTTTTAAACTCAAGACACTGCCAAAGATAAGAAACTACTGTGGAGATGTCAGTTGCTGCAGTTGATTTTATTGGTGAAAAGTGTACTTTCTTACGTCGCGAAGTTTTCTAAAGTCATGAATGAAAACCTGAAGTTTTCGGATGAGGAGGTGTCTGCGGCTAACTGAGCTCCAGCTGAGATTCAAGATGACTACTCTGCAGCTAAAGCACGTATGCACATAGAGCTGAAACGAATCATCGAATGGTTCGGTTCATTAAATTCCTCGATTCATTAAATGCGCGCTCCACATCGGGTTGTCACTGTGTGAAGATTTAACCTCACGGTTATTGTGACCAAAATTATCACGGTTTTCGGTATTACAGGTGAACAGGTGAGTTTAAAGGAGACCACTGAGTCCTCTGATCTCAGGCTCAGGGGGGGAGAGGTCCAGAGTCTGGGGGCCACAGCAGCAGATGATCTGTCACCTTTGGTCACTGGACCTCAGGGACCTGCTGGGGGTGTAGGGACTGAGAATGTCACCAATGTATGATGGTGCTTGTCCATGTAAGGCCCTAAAAATGGCATGTATCCATTTTTTATTCAGAATTTACATGCCAGGGCGGCAGTGGTGCAGTGGTTAGTGCTGTTTCCTTGGACCAAGAACGTCCTGGGTTCAAATCCCAGCCTGGGCTGTTACTGCATGGAGTTTGCATGTTCTCCCTGTGCATGCGTAGCATCTCTCGGAGTACTCCAGCTTCCTCCCACAGTCCAGAAACACGACTGCCAGGTTGATTAGGCGTGCATGGTTGTGTGTCTCTGTGTTACCCTGAGGTGGACTGGCAACCGGTTCAGGGCGCACATCGCCTGTTCACCCGAAGACTGCTGGAGATGGGCACCAGACCCCTCGACGAGTGAAATTTACATGCCAACATTTACTGTGGTGTAATTCAAACGCCGACTGCTAGGTGGCAGCAGTTTTTAACGAGATCTCTCAATAATGCTGGGTGTGTCTCAGAAGGGCCTGGCCTGGTTTATCCTATTTATTTAATCAGACTTTTATTATCTCAGTATATCGTGTTGTCTCTTCTGTGTTGTGATATATCGCATCGCCAGGGTCTCGCAAAAACACACCCCTATCTGCTGTTAGGGTTTCATTCATTCAACACTAAGATAATTGTGCTTTTCCTGGGACTCCGAATGGAAATCGCTCTGAAATGCAGTTTTCATTCAAACAAAATGGATGTTTCCTGTGTGAGAACAGCGCCACACATGAGCGAGTCTTGGTTCCACAGGTGGATTAGTGGACGGCTAGCTTGAGTGACGGGTGGAGTTCAACTTGTTGCCAGGAATTCGTTGAGAGTGTGGCCTGTGTAACAGGAGATTCATGTGAAAGGCGGCCTCCCTCCGAGGCTGGGCAGACGGGGGGCAGAGCGGCAGGCACCTCCTCGCGGCACTAAGGGGGCGCCAGATGCCCTCTGCCCAAAGAGCCTGGGTCCAGAGGGTGTTTCCAACCGGGTGGGTAGAGCTTCGGTTTGGGGCCTTGCAGGGAAAGCTTGTGGCTGGAACACAGTCTGTTGTTTATTGTGTGTGTGTGTGTGTGTGTGTGTGTGTGTGTGTGTGTTAGTCTCTCTTTTGTGTATACGGCCGGTAGTTCTGACCCACTTCACCAGATCACTGTCTCTCATCTGAACGGAGCTTGTTTTTTCCTTTTTCCCGTCCCCACATCCATCAACGCCTACATCCCAACATCTGAGGTGGAATAAATCCCTGTGGTGGAGATGATGGCACAATGGCCAGCCTCTAAAATAACAACATGGTCCACAACAACAACACTGTCCCATTTGGAGTGCAAGAAGCCCCGCACAATGGCCCAGTGTTCAGGGGCGCAGACGGGGCTCCCCACCACCATCCAAGCTGTTAGACAAGCAGGAGAGGGAGGTCACGATCACACGGTGCTCTACTTCCTGATCCTCGTTTGTACTGAGTCGGAGCCGGGCTGAGACTCTCGCTAGGCTCTCACTCAGAAACCTGCGTCTGGTGTGAAGAGTCTAAAAACCGCCCTAAATAGGTGGCTTTTGCGTTTGTCTCCGCTTCAGAAGTTTTACATCTCTCTTTCAGTTTCCCAGGGTATCCGCGGCTCCTTAAAAAGTCTTAAATTTGCTTTTCCAAATTTAAGACCTTAAAAATCCTTAAAAATTACAAATAATCCTTAAATACAGTTTCCAAAGGTCTTAAATTACCAAAGACCCAATAAATAAGATTATTTTATTTCAATTTTCATGAATTTCTAGTTTGTGTTCAGTATTTTTTTGTGTATGACGCTGGCGTAAGCGGAACCGTACACATTCAGTTAGTTGTGAAAGGGGGCTTTTTTAGATGAGCACATTAGCTGGTTAAGCTAGTGGGAGCTTGCGCCATGGGGACGTGCAACTTTTATGGTAACTGGATGGCTAATCCCACATTCGCAATAGCTGGAAATTATAGTTTAAATTTAATTTTAAAAAATAGCTTAAATTTGGTCAAATTGGCCTTAAAAAAGGTCTTAAAAAGTCTTAAGTTTGGCTCCCTTAAACCTGCAGATACCCTGGTTTTGGCATCCTCAAAAGACGAAAGGGACTGCGCGCTTAGACGTGAACAGGCCAGTGCTGCTTGCGTGCTGATAGCATTCTTCCAGTTATACTCATGTCAACAACAGACGGAGCAGCTTTGAGGGAAATGGACTCTGAACCCGTGAAATGCTCGCAGATGATGCGACTGAATTTGTGGTAAAAAGGTGTTGTCAGTGAGCGTAAGCTGCCTGCCTCTTTGTGTCGCTGCGCCGTTGAAAGAACGATCCATTAGCTGTAACCGACCGCCGGTGCCTGATCTTTCATGTTGCGTCATACTCGGTCTGGTCTGTGTGTGGGAGGTCTGAGGGGGAGGATTTATTCTTAAAAGGTGCAACTGAAAGTCTGAGAGTGTGTGGGGGGGGGGGCTTCTGTTTTCCTACGTGCATTTCATCCTTTTACTTTATCCCTTTTTTCAGACGTTTGTTCAGATTTTATTGTGGAAGAGAGGACGCTACCTGCTGAGGCTCATGACGCATTCCAGCCCCACAGATTCATCATCAACCAGCCGATTTGCATTTAAACCCCTCACACTCGGCTAAGCCCTCCTGCAAACATCAGGGGCGTGACCCCGCTGCCTTGTGGCACTGAAGGTTTTTTTTAATAAACCTTCTGGTACCTCTTGAGTTGGCCTGCTGCAAAAGTAATGGAAGTGTGGTTCAAAGGTCAGTGGGAAGAGGGTATCTTGGGTCATCGGCAGTGGCCCAAAGGCCGGCGCGGCCGAGACTGGGCGGCTGGTCATTGGGTTAATAGGATAAGTGGCCTGCAGGTCACTTTGGCCCAGTTCTAATGCTAATACAGAAGCTGGTCTCTGCACAGTTGGCAGGATTGGGAATAAATCCTGGATTTAGAGACTACTGTGTTACAGTTGAAATCCAGCCATTCACAAGGATGGGATAAAAACAGCAGTCCTGATTTCTGCTTTAATGATTCGCTTTCCTGAAGAAATTTATAAGACGTTAACTTTTTCTCCCAGATTCCTCTTGAGAGTGAATTCAAGCACATCCCCAGAATCTTTGATGAGAACAAACCCTCTTCAGCCTCTTGATGTCGGGAAGATTTTCTTCATTTTAGATTGTTATTCTGTTCTAACCGCTCAGACGCAACCTTCCCACAGTCGAGACGTCTCGTGTGAAGTAAGAGAGTACTTTGAGATAAGTGCTTTTGTTTTCCATTCTTGTTTTGGGCTCGAGGAGGGAGCCGTGGCTTGTGATGTCTGCAATGCTTTTACCTTTAATCCACTCCTTAGACACTGTTGGTGCTGACCTTGCGGAGCTTTTTGGCAAAGAAGTGGTCCCATTTAATGAAGCGAGACGCCTCACTCGGTCGGAAAAAACACGTCTGGCCACAACGTCGACAATGAAATTCATTTGTATTTCTATTGTCGACGAATCGTTGCAGCACTATTCTGCTGATTTCTGCCCTTTTCTTGTTCATTTTCTTTTTCCCTTTTTTCACATCTTTTGCTTTTTTTATTTTTATGTTTTTTTTTATTTCTTTGTTTTTGATTATTTTTGTTCCTGACTTAAGTTTTTATTTATCGCAAGTGATATCGTTATCACAATATTAATCACTGTTATCGCATATCGCAGGGTTTCCTAATATCGTGCAGCCCTAGTTTGTTTAATTTTTAATTTTTAATTTTGTGTACGACTCTCCTCTTACTGTCAAACGTAAGACGCCTCGTCGGAGTTGAGGAAGCCTTTGCTCTCTCGTTGCTAACCGCTGGTTTCTGTTCTCCTTTCAGATGCATCCTCTGGGATTATGCAATAACAACGATGAAGAGGACCTGTATGAGTATGGTTGGGTCGGAGTGGTGAAGCTGGAGCAGCCAGAGCTGGACCCCAGCTGTCTCACTGTCCTGGGAAAGGTAAACGGCTTATTGCTACCGTTTTAACCGCCAATGTGCACCAACGGTTGTTTGTCGTAGCTTCAGAAACATCGTGGATTTGCGTTTTTCAAAAGCCTTCGGTTTCCACTGGAGCCCCTTGGGCACTTGAATTGGCTAAACTGGTTTAAATGGGACTGTTTGTGGCACTAAACATCATTTTGACACGGTTTGCTGACTTGGTTGTATCCCATAAGCTTGTCTGCGTTTTCAGTGTGAAACACTCCTGCTTAAGACCCAGAATGGTGAATTTCCATTTCCCAGATGTGGGTAACGTTCACACGGGTCTGTTGACTTTTCCTTCACCCCGGGTCTCGGCTTAATCCGTGTCTGGAAAACTGTCTGCCTGTGTCTGAATTCAAACCTTATTTTGGGACACAGATGCTTTCAGTAGTTGTGTTAACTCTTCTGGTGAAGTTCTAGATGAACATGGACTTCTTTTTGTTTCTAGGTCCTTATTGCCTGTAGAAAAATAACGAACTGTTCCCCGCTCACCTCACCCATCCCCATCTTCCTTCTCTCCCTGCCTCCCTGCTGTGCTCAGACCTCTGTGAGTCTCCCAAGTGGTACTTTATTGTGCTTTAATTAAGTGGCTCTCTTAATGGATTGTACCAACATTTCCTGGAGGAATAAGTTGAAGGGGTTAGAGGTGGATCCAACGCACATTCCTAGTGACAGAAAGAGAGCAGTCATTCATGATTTGAGGAGCCCAGGTGGTACATAGACATGCTAATGCGGTGCTTTCTGCTACCTGCCTCATGCTGGAACCAGAAACGTACGTAATGTAGGTCTGACAAACAAACGGACAGAGTTTTCTGGTAGGTATTTGCTCTGCTATGTGTTGATAAACAGGGGTGCCTCCAGAAAATTTTGGTAGGGGTGACCAGACGAACCAAAGAAATCTTTGGGGTGGCAGACCAAACTGGTCCTGGTGGTAACTCTGGGAGAGTTTAGCCTGTGGCGATGTTTTTATAAAAAATAAAATAAATAAATAAAAAACAGTACGTATCAAAGACATTTAACTTAAATTTTACAAACACAAACATTTCAGAAATAAACATTCAGTTATTTAGGATGTTACTTCTAATTTTATTTTAAAATGTATTTTTTGTTTAGTTCACCTGTTGCTGTGTTCACAAGAAGCTATGGAGATGAACACTTTTTTAAATGGTGAGCAGCAGAAACGTATTTTTTATTCAGATTATTTCTTTACTCATTAATTGTATTATTTTTATTTTGTTTTACAATTATGTCTGGAATAAATAAGATCCTTTTATGGTTTGAGTGAACATTAATATTATAATGATTTATTAACAATGGCTTCTTCTGGGGGGGGGGGGGGGGGGGCAGTAATTTTCTAGGGGTGGCCATGGCCACCCCTGGCCACCCCTTTGGCGCGCCATTGTTGACAAAACGAATAATTCTCCATCCCAACAAATTTGTTCTTGTCAGCTCTTCATACGGTTAATTATTAGGGTGCCTAGTTCGATAAACTAAAGCTGTCCCTGCAAACGGTTGGAGATGATCCTAAAGTCTGATTTTAGGAGATTTGTTTGGGCTTTAGAAGGCTCAGTCAGCTTCTCACGAATGTAAACAACCATCCTGTTGGCATGGTTACAGGATAAAAAACAAGAAAAGTCTTGGAAGGTGTGGAACATGAAGCAGAACTACAGCAACAGGATCAAATGCTTCTACGTATTCACGCTTGCATTAGATTAGATCTTGTGGTGTTTGGGACGTTCCAAAGCCACGTCTACGCTTTATGGATACGGCTTTCAGCCAGTCTGAGGTCCGCTAATGAGGAGGCCCATTTTCATAAGATGGGGTTGGGAAGTTTTGCTTAGAGACACTTTAGTGAGGATGGCAGGAATCTTGCCTAGCGACCTTTTGGCCTTCATCCAGCCTCGCCAGCCTCTCTCTGCTCCGTTTCCTGCATGTTTATTCAGCCAGAACTATAATTAGAGAAGGGAAGCCCATTGTTGCATCTTGACAACCCCTCGTCTGGGGCCCGAACACAGCTGGGTGCTTTGCGCTGGCACCGGTGCGTTTGCCAGGCCAGACAGTGTTGTGTTTACCCCCCTGCCAGTCTGCATGCCCAGCCAGCCCAGCCAGGCAACAACACCCAGCCCCATTCATGATACTCTGCCCTCCAGTACACTCGCCCCGTCTGGCCTGGCCTTAAAGAGCAAGTCACCCCCTACCAGAGTCTAACTCCACTCCCACTTCATGTTTGAAAAATGCAACAAATGCTGTTGCCTGGCAGACAAAGAAGGAGGAGCTGCTAACAAATACACACACACACAGGCTCATGACAGCATTGTGACATCATAATGTACCAGTTTACATCATAGCATACCTCTTAGCCAATAGCGGTGGCAGATTTAAATTAAAATACAGTGCAGAGTTTTTACCTGACGACGGCACAACACTGCCAGTTTTAGGCAGAAAATTTAAATTTTAACTAAGATGCACTGAAGTTCCAAATTATTGACGACACATGTCCTGCAGCACGATTAGACACTCGTTTATTTAGTTTATCAGCAAAAAAATGTTTATTTGGGGGTGACTTGCTCTTTAAGATCTGGATCCCCCACCTCCCCCTCTTCCCAACTGGCCCCTGACTGAACCCGAGAGCCCACTCCACTTTGCTGCCACTTTGCCACCACCAGTGGTTGTCGGGGGGTTTCTGGTCAACTTGGATTCCATTCAATTACAGCGAACACAAAACAGGACGTAGGAAGGGGGGTGCCACTGTTTATTCTCATTAAAATGAGTGAGACCAAGTTTGGGACTCTCGGACCCCCGACCGTTTATTAGAGAGGATCAAAACAAAACTATTAGTTTCCGTTTTTAGAGTGGACCAAGTCTCGCTGTGCTTTAATGTTTGCCGCTGTCGTTTCTCTTTTGAACTTTTATTCTTTTCCTTTTGGTTCCTACTTGGATTCTTCTTCTGTGGTTTTTATCTGGGGCCTGTACGTGGTTTATTTAGCTGAGTGGATTTAGACGTTTGAATATAAAAACGATGTTTATTGTAGTGGGAGACACGGAAACGAGGTGGGGCACGTCGGCCTCTGAAGTCCAGGTGCAAACCCCGCCGAAGGGCTGGTGTGTCATATATATGTACACAGTTTTTTCCCACTCTTCCTGTGTGGTTCCTGTGCGAGCTGCAGGACTGTTAAACCTCTGACCTCGGTGTGCCACAGCAGTCCCTCCTCCCTTTGAAGCAGGAAAATCTCCAGCAAATCTGTTCCCAGTGCAGCGACCTTTCTTCCAGGCGCTTCTTATCTGGTCTTCGTCAACAAGCCTGACGTTCCCGGGTCGTGCCGGAGAGCCCTGGTGGGAGCAGGGCAGCTTGTTGCACAAAATTACCGCGGCTCATCAAGCCTCTGCTCTCTCCGAGGTGTTAGTAAATGTTGTAAATCATGCTCACACCTCTTTATGCACGCATCCGCTCTCAAGTTGAACTATTTATTGCAGTCAGTAACGTATTCTCAGTTGTCATTTCCTTCCTGCTGGTCGACGTTCTCAGAACTGACCTCCCTCCCTGCTCTACACCGTCTCCTCACAGACATACTGTGCAGTTTTTGGCTGCTCCTCTGGAACATGAAATCATGCCACTGGCTTTCTCTGGTGGCCCAGACGGGCCGGGGTCTTTGACGCGGTGCCAGTCCAAAAGCTTTTCTTTCAAGGATCGCGGTTGTCAGTCAAGCGGCCGCACGGGGCCTTAGCATGCCAACTTTGCATCTTCATCCTGCCGGGGCTCTCGTGACATCGGTCTCCCAACACGTCAAACCAGAAGAGCAAGGGCAGAGGCGTAGACGGACGTAGCCCATACGTTAGATTTGTTGTTCTGTAAGTCTTTTTTTTGTAGACGGCAAAAGAAAAACATTGGGATCCGTCCTCCCACACAGCCATGCTGTCTCGTGAAGCAAACCTCTTGGCTGGCAGAGAAACCTCGCTGGTATGCGATTGTTGTGTGTGTGGCCTGCTGCCGGCCTCAGCCAGCTCGTCTCGGAGCCAGTTCCTCCTTAAACGCCAGGCTAAGCGGCGCAGCCCCACTGATCCCGGCTCGGCCACTACAAAGCGCTTAAGAATAACTGGGGGAACGAGAAAAGTTTCAAGCTCTTTATTGACATATCCTCCCCAAAAATAAGGCTTTAAAGTTTTTGCCAGAGGCTCACAACCATAAAAAGTGTGTCCTGTGTGGGAAGTTCTGCCTTTGACACACACGTAAACATGTTCCTGAAGACCACAGTTGCCATGGAACGATGTGAGCGAGCGGAGGAGTGCGTCTTTCTACCAGCTTGGCACCGAGCAACGGCGAGCCAGAGCAAACAGCTGCTGCGTCTTAGTGCTAAGTGGCTTTTGGACTCTTAGCTGTGTCTGGCATCTCGGCCATAGCTGCCAGAGTGTGTGTGTGCGTGTTTGCCGGAGACGGAGGAATGACGGGGTTGTAGAAAACACACGAGGGCTGCAGGAACGGTGTGCAGCTAAAAGCTGGTGTTAAAGAGAGCAAAACGGCAACAGACAGATATGTGTGATATCACCGGTGACCGGCTTGCACCTTTTGCCAGGTTAGCCGTCTTGCACACTCAGGTGTGTGTTAGAGGTCGTCGTGAGGCCACGGCGGTGCCAGTAGGGTGTCATACCGCGCGGCTTGTAGCAAACAAGCTTCAGGGCTGAACTGAAGTGTCTGTATTTGACCCCGTTTCTAGACTACCTCCGGTAATCTGTCTGATCAGGGGGGAATTAGCTCATGAGTGAAATCCCAGTTTGTAGCTCATTACCTGTTTATCAGTCTGGATGAGACCAGAAGGCTGACAGCTGGACACGACTCGCCGTCTCCGTCTCACCCCGTTCCTGATTTGTCTTCTTCTCGATTTGAAACTCGAAACACGAAATTGGAACAGAAAGGATCTCCCTCTCTCTCCTCTCTCTCTCTCTCTCTCTCCCTCTCTCTCCTCTCTCTCTCTCTCCCTCTC